GAAGGGGAAGGAAATTTTGTGTTGATACGAAGGTTGGGATAGTCGTCTCTCAACTTTCTAAGATTCTTCGTTTTTGCTGCGGTATGAGAATCGGGATCGGATTCAGGACTAGCAAAGGTACGTAAGGTGTTATTCAATATTTCCAAATCATGAGCGTCATGTAATTGCGCCCAAGTACTCATCGTTGTTTAATCAAATCAAATAAAATAAAATAATCGTAAAAATAAAATAAAAATAGAAAGTCGTGTGTATTGAGGAGTGAATGATGTTACTCGCGCGCACACGAAATAAGATGTCAAAAGCTGTTTTACTGCGTTCGCCGAAGATATAGTCGTGTTCAGTAGAAAAAAAAGAAAAAAAATTGTTGATGCCACCCAACCCAGGGATATTTATATATATATGTTTTGTTTTTTTTATTATTATTATTCTATAAAATCAAGTGATTGTTTGTATAGTAAACCAACTGTATAAAACAAAAAAAATTAAATTATGTCAGCAGCATTCTCTGTTTAGATGACAACGTTGACGCAAAAAAAAAGGCTACCACGCCTTTTATATCAAAGCGATGATATCATTAGCGTAATCCGGGAAAATGTAAAAATACACACTTACTATTATTATAACCCTGTTCTATACTTTTTAGGGGTTTGGTTTTTTTCTTTTCTCTCAAGGTCGTCTCCAAGTTTGGTCCGCACTCGAGGTGTACTTTGTGAGTTAGAAAGTGTTCCACGTTATAGGAGTAACAGCAGCGCGCAAAATTCAGTTATGAAATATCTCTAGGAAATTTCGTAAACAGTTCTAACAATTCGTAAAGAAATTATTGCGACTAAAATCTTCCACAAATTTTCTTTTTAAAAAATATAAAAAAAATTCAAGTGTCGGGTTTTAAGGTGAGGAAAAAAAAAATTTTTTTTTTTTTCTGAAAGGATGAATGATAAGCCAAGGGTCATTTATATATAGGATAATAAGAAAGACCCACTTTTTTTAAAAATAACCTGTATAAAAAAAAAAATTTTTTTTTTTTTTTTTTTTTCATAAAATAACATAATTTTTGAATTTTTGAATTGGTAGTCTATCGATTTGCAGAAATCGGAAATAGGGAAGTTGCGGGAATCTCTGCATATTAGCGTTATTAGGACTCTGCACTAATTATCAACGTTCAATCGGTGCATGTATATTTGTTTTTGACAAGAGATAATGAAGATCCAAAGAAATGATTTTATTGGCTAGTGATGGTAACGCATGAATAGCTTTGATCGTGATATGATAACTTTTTTACAAAAAAAAAAAAAAATTTATTTACGTGTAATACATCAATGTGCGGAACAGATGACACAACAGTAAAAGAAGTACCACGCCGATCAGATAATCCTTTTTTAAAATGATATGGATCACAAATAGTAATAAAAGATAAGCCCAATTGAGTAATAGAAAAAGTCAGCACGGTAGCAATATTTTTTTCAAACACAATACGATCAATGTTTTTATGAAACGCCGCGTCGAGAATTGATCATTTGACCCATTGGAGATGAATCGGAGCTGCGTTTTACAACATCCAAGATTTGTTCTCTAAAATAAACAATCCTTGTTGCTGTCATCGGTCCTACGTTTGTGCGCTCATACGGCTGCTTCAAACAACAACGTGGTTTTGTGGCTTATCACAGGAAGCAAATAGAATGATCAAATATTATTATTGTCCTTTGTAAGATAGCCTATAAAAAAGTGTACCGTAGTTTTAATGTGATAAAGATCGTCCCAAGATAGCAAATCCTGAATCAAGTTACTTGAATTCGGGATACTAAAGAAACGATAGGTTAGCTTCGAATTTTGCCAAATTCACATGCCATGCACATATGATCGCTACATTAGAGTGTGATAACTCCAGCTGAATGTCGTGGTAAGTCAATTCACCTTATCACAATAAACAAAGCATGATCGTCTCGATCCCTACGGTCCCATACATAAGTTGTTTGTCACTTGTAACAAGAAAATGATCGAAGAGTCCCCATACAAAGATAAGGACGGTTGATTTATCAAAAATAATTTTAAGTGCGAAATTGGATCTTCCGTTCGGACGCTCGCCCAAGCCCAGTCTAGAGATTTCCATTCGCTCAAGGGATTGTGAATTTTTATGGATATGTACTTTTCGAGAATGTGTTCACATGCCCTAATGCGCTTAGGATTTTTATAGCAAAGGCAAGTATTTTAGTTAGTCGGTCCGAAAATTGATAAACATTATGTATAATAATGTATAAAAAAATCTAACTCGTTAGGAATTTATGCATATTTACAGTATCATCATTATTTTTTAATCTCTATTGATTTAATATAATCTATGTTCTTATACTTACTTATTTGTTCAATCGTCAAAGATATACAGTATATGGGGTGGGGCTAATAAATACGGATGCGGATGTTTAGATAAGTCAATTAATTAATAATCAGATATTTATGTGCACGATAGGTACACGCCACTATACGGAATAGATTAAAAAAAGATAAGCTATATGATTTCTCTGCATAGAAAATAAAATTTTTTACGTGTACTGACTGTATAAAAAAATTTATTTTTTGATGATGCAAGAAAAATAATGTATATATTTGTTTTATGTTAAATGAAATAATATGATTAATAGTTTTATTTATTTAATTTTGAATCCAAAAAAAAAATAATAATAATAATTAATAATAATTAAACCAGATCAAAAGTGTTTTAAAAAAGTAAGAAATAATTATTTTGAAAAAGTTGAAAGATCTTACAATTAAATACAATGTGTTAAAACAATAAGGTCTTTGATGAAATTATGTTAAATAGTTGGAATCATAATTTTATTTAAAATTTAATGATTTTTTAATTTCAAAAAATGCATACTTGTTTATTAACATGTTATATAAATATCAATTATGAATATTATATATATATATAACAGTTATTAAATTTAATCCATGTGGTAAGTAATAACCTTATTTTGGAAATTCGAACTAAAAATATATATTATAAAATCACACCAATTTTGTTTGTACTTAAACAAGCAATTTAATCATTAGATTTTATTTTTTAATATTTACAATTTGTTGATTGCAACATATGCGTATACTTATTCACATCTTACTGCTAACACATAGACCAACTCCGAATACCACTAATCCCATTCCGATCCACATTTCTAATTCAACAGAAAGAGCGACCCGTTAATATCGAAAACTTCCAAAACATGAAATTTACCCGAGTTACCATACCTCGATTTCCAATTTCCTCACCGAGCAAACTAGCCGCAATGGTCGTGAATATGAATGTTAGCGAGTTTGTGATCGGAACCGCTAATGATAGGTCTACATTGACAATGATCGGATCGA